TTGGTGTTCATGCTCCTGAGGGACAAGAGCCGACCTAGGTACCGGGGGGGGGGGGGTACCATATATATATATATATGTATATAGATACAGATATGGTAGCATATATTTTCTTTCATATATTCGTATATTTACATAGGCCATGCTACCGGCTTTGCAGACGGCTTCCACGATCTTGCAATGTGACCAAATGCCGGGCTGGGGTTCCCAACGACTGTGTTCCCGTAAGCCCTCCACAAGTGTATGTATTTATATATTCATTCATTCATTCATTCATTCATTCATTCATACATAAATACATGCATGCATGCATGCATGCATGCATACATACATACATACATACATACATACATATTATATATAAAGAGGTTTATATATATAATCCTCTCTATATACATATATACACTGCATACTTGATAATCTTATATTACATATTCCATATTACAGGTTCCATATTACACATCTTGTTTTATACATGTACATACTATTTTGCATACTATATTATCTTGTGTTATATATACATATATAGACATGTCCCTGCCCGGGGTCCTTCTCAAAGAGGATGGAGGCACAGCGTGCAGCCAGGGGCTGAGAGTCCCCGTCTTGCAGCCGCTGCGCAATCTGCGCGACGCGTAGGTCCAGCTCCATTGCCGAGGACGAGTGAGGGGTGAACAAGAGCGCCACTTCCTGGAAAACTGCCTTTATGATCCGGAAGTAGGAAGCCGTGTCGCCATTTTCGATGCCAGTGCTCGCGATCTCCCGAAAGGAGGACAAAGATGGAAACTGGAAGTCGTCTGTAACCAGAATTGGCAGAACCGCGCAGTAAGTCAAATAACTTGCCTGCGTCAGCCACTCGGCGATCTGCTTGGAAGCAAGGCCGCCATCACTGCAAATGAGGACTGCACAGACCGAATCAACTGGAATTGGCTCAGTCCTTGTTAGAACTGCAAGCTTGAGACTTGAGGAGCCTATTAGAAGCGGGGCCAGCAGGTCGTACAAGACCAAGGCCGTCGCGACCGCTTCCATGTCATCGGGGTCCGCGAGGATCACTCCATCCACGTCCTGGTCCTTGGAGCCCTGACAAATGCTGGTGCCTGTGGTTTGGGTAAGGCTTGCCACGACCTCATCGATACCCTCGGCACTGACAACATTCAGTTCCAACGTTTCGAGTGTCCAGAGCCACTTCAACGTATCGTTAACCTCTGGAAGCCCGATTCCCAAGCTGGACAAGTCTCTGATGTCACCCACGGCATTAGCGTAGTGCCGTCTGAAGGACTCGTCGGGCATGGAGAAACCTGGAAGTGTGATGAGCAGGCTGGGTACACTTTGCTGCCTTGCTGTCACCATTTCACCAACACACCACCTGGGGTGTCGCTGAGGTACCAAAGCACAAGTCCGATTCTATCTCCTACTGTGTTCCAATGTTCAACAGGTGTGTTTTGAAAGAACAACCGAGCCACTTCCGCGATAAAACTGCAGGGCTTCCGAGAATGACCACTTTCTCCACATCGTGAGCCACGTGGTTGAAGAGCTTCGAGAGGTCCTTGAGGTCGTCTGAATCAATGAAGGTCTTGAACTTCGATGCACGATGCTGAAGCTCAATTTTCAGCAGGCGGGCCAAACTGCCTGCTGCCTGCTTGTGATGGCAGAGAAAGAATGAGTAGCGCTTGTGTTTCTTGGCAATGAGGTGCCTCACAAGACCATACAAACTCGCGAGCAAAAGCAACGTGGCAACAAGCACGGCAATCACCACGCATGCCAGCATGGAGCTGAAGCTGTCTGCAGAAGGGACGAAAAGGGCGCCGATGTCCAGGATGGTGAGCGCCCCCCCATGCATCAAGAGGTCCAGGTGGGTGCTCAAACGAACACGCCACGGCTTTGCATAAGCAGAGCAACACAAGCTGAGGTAAAGGATAAGGTTCATGCTCAGCATCCGCGCCGTCTCCGAGGGCAGTAAAGGGCAAAGCACGATCATCAAGTTGCGGAACAAGAAGACAACCGCAAAACCTTGAGCTCCAGGTCGAAAACGCATAGCCAAGAACGACCAGGCTCGTACAAAGTTGGCATCCGCAGCCCTTACCTTCCGAGGGAACTCGATCACAATCACCCAGGCACACACCGACAGGAAGGATAAGGGTGCCAAAAGGGCAAATGCCGCGTACAAGCACATCTGCAGATGAGTTCCTTGTCCGTCACAGAAAACATCGGGGTAGTCATCGATGGTGTACAGGCCATTCGGATGCCCCTTGCATCGAAAAGGTCGGAGTAGCAGCGAACAAGCTGCAATAAAGAAGAGCACTGCTAGAAATCCCAAGGAACGTCCAAACAGGCGAAGGGGTACCTCCTTCCCGCCTGACCTTCGCACTTTGCTGTACACGACATGGGTCACAGCCAACACTACAACCAGGCAACACGGGAGGGCAAACGACTGTATGACGAAAAGTGATAGCGTGGGAACCTCCGCAAAGCATTTGATGGAGCTGAGGGAACTGAGCAGCACATCAAAGGCAACAACATCCAGCATCTTCAGCAATGTCAGGAAGGGCTCGCCCCACTTCACCCCGAACTGCCTGATGACGAGCAACAGCTGTGCAAAGGTTACGACTTGACCCATGCCTATGCCGGCAAGGACCAGCGGACGCGACTGACTTCTGTTGCCGGCCCAGATCATCACTAAATGCCATGTGACAGCAAGCACAAGCAGCATCACTCCAATACCCGCGGCCACGATGTAGTCATTGCTGTAGCAAGCCACACACTCACCACGGATATCATCCTCGCGCCAACCCGGCAAACAGCTGGCGCAAGCAATGCTTTGGTTGTCGCGGCCTCTGGCAATTTAGGGTTTCGGCTTCAAATCATCCTGCCAGTCGTTAGCCCCTGTTCATTTCAACCTCATTACCCACATGGTGGCGGCCACGCTGGTATCGACTCGCACGTAATGCGCCAAGACTAGCTGACTTGCTAAGATGCGTCCTGACATCGTCATCACCGATTGCATACATCCCGGAACCGGACATCCCACCCCGAACACTTCAAACAAAGCCCGAAGACCTGAAGCCTCGCTCTCGCCTCTGGCGCAGGAGCCCGGTGAGCCACCCGGGCAGCGCTCGGGGAGTTTGTGACACTCCTGGGCGGCATGGACGCACTGACATGCACGGACCCGTCTGCTGCAGTTGGCCGAGTACTCAGCAGTCGATAGCCCCGCGAAGTCTCCAGAGCTGGCCGATGCAACGCAACGACTACAGAACGAACAGTACGCAAGACACTTAGAGCCTCCAACAACCATACAGCCCAACTCAAACATCCCTGAAACTCTTCGCCAGGGCTCGAAGACCGCACCCGGGCTCTCGTTCGACGCATAGAAGCCCGGGCGCAGCTCGAGCTGCCCGGAGCCAGCGCATATGGAGCCCATCGGACAGTCCTCCCAGCTGCTTGGATTTGGGGACAAAAAGATTGTGGGGTTGGGGGTTCCAGGGTTATTTTAGTGTTCGGGTTGGGTGATGGAGTTTGTGGTCACAGTCGCAGGAGAAAGGGCCGTTTTGGGGTTTGAGACCTGGCTGTGAATAGCAGGCTTGGTGATTCGTTACCACAAGCGCAACCGGTCGCCCGGAATCGGACCTTTCCAACAACGGAAAACCCTTCTCACAAGTCATTCCCCGATGCTGGCTCTGGAGTAAGACATTCGAACCCTGAACCGCCCAGAGTTGACGGTAACTGATCTCCAGAGGTCCTGGCACCGGCCGTCACTAAGGTAAGTCCCGGCGATGCAGCGGCAGAGGCGCTGCGAGGGTGCCCCACGTACGGCAATCCACTTCTCGCCGCTGGAGGTGTTCAGGCACTCGCTGGTCGTCCACCTGTCGTCTCCACAATCTGTGCACTCTGTGAGGCCGCTTCTGTCAGCGAAGGAGCCCGGGGGGCAAAACTCACATTCCGTGGAGCCGTTGACGCCGGAAATCTTGCCGGCCTCACAAGCTACACACACTGTCTCACCTGCCAGCGGCTGATAACGGCCGCTTTCACAAAAGACACAGCGGCGTGTGCTTCCGCTGCTGTCATCGAAGGCCTCTGAAAATGTCCCTGCGGGGCACATCTTGCACTCCGCTGCCCTCGTGCGGGACGGCAGGAACAGGCCTTCTTTGTCGACAACTCCAGCACCCGCAGTGCATTGGGTGCGCAGAGGGACGACTTGCCGCCAGCTGGTGTCCCTTCGTAGCCAATTGCAGGCTACCTCGTAGGTGCTGTTTCCAGCCTGCATCTGGCCAATAGCTTCTTGGACATCATCTCGGTCAAAGGTCAAGTCGCTTAGCATCGCATGCATCAGCGGACTCTTCTGTTCTAAATCGGCGCTGACCATTTTCAGGATCTGGGTGGACGCAGGTGCGGTCCTTCGGTTCCCTGCTTCCCATTCTGCCGCACTGAAGCGGGGGAAGAGGATAGCCTCCGGGTTCATGGAAACAAAGGTCCCATCAGGCAGCCACCAGTAGAAGAGCACCTTTAGGTTCTCAACATAGTACACGTACCTGTCAAAGTCATCGACGATGCCAATGGCAACAGGGAGAGCATATGCAGCCGAGCGATGCATAAAGGATGGAAGCAGCCAGCCATAGCTGCCACTCGTCAGGAGCGGAATGCATTGGGAGGTATCGTGCCGGCAGGCTGGGGACGGCCACCAGTGGTTGCCGTGACATTTTGCCACGTAGTTCGGGCCTTCATCTCCAGGAACCTCCCGGACCCCGGCAGTGTCACCAGACCATTTAACATATTCAGCAAGCCTTCCATGGTGCACCCAGTTCGTCCCGGCCGTGTCGCATGCAACCAAATCGGGCAAGAGCACGTCTTCGATACTGTCGAACAGGGCCCGCACGGCGCTGGCGTGGGAGAGGCTTGCGTTGTATGTACGGTGGTAGTCCAGGGTCAACCCTGCAGATTGATAGGCAACGTCTTGGACCTCACGCTTCACGAAGAGGTACTCCTCACCCACGAAGCCAATCCCTCCAAGACTTACCGGGGCGTACTGTGGGAACAGCCTCTCGAGAGTGACAGGAGCATCTTGCAAGGCCGAGGTGTAGAGGTCCAGCGCCACATGGATCCTCGTCTCCTCGCCGCAGCCATCCAGGCTGGCTTCTCCCAAATTAAAGTCGCGACAGCCCACCAAAGCATAGAGGGCCGTCCAAGACCCGGAAGCTCTCACAGAATGGACGTAAGTGCGATACCCCAAGACTTCTGCGGTTACAATTTGAGCAAACTGTGTCAACAGCTGCGCCGAAGCCCAGTCGGCTTCCACAAATCCAACCGGGATGTCAGCACCTTGATTGTCTTGCAAGAAATATCTATCTGCTTCGGGAATGCCATCTTCCAAGCAAAGACCACCTGAACGCATCAGAAAGCTGGCTACGAGCCGAATCACCGACCATGGGCGAAATGCCTTGGGCATTCACTGGCCGTCTGAGGCGACGCTCAGATATTTTTCAGCACACGCATTGAAAAAAGAACATCCATGAACTCGAGCCAACACGGCTCTCTGGAAGCGGGCAACTTCGTCTGTCCAGAGGATTACTGGAGCAAAGGAGTATAAAGGCGTCATAACACTGCTGCAAGATGTTCAACCTTGCACTGGTCCCACAGTCCCACCTCCAGGTCGGAAGCAGGCTTCCCGTAGTCCCAAGCTTTGACAGCGCCACCTGCACAAGGTGTCAGCGGGGATTGGGTGCACAAGGGGCTCTGACTCGCAGCCACGCAGCCCTTCAAGGCAAAGCTGCAAAGCTTGCAAAGTCTGAAACCACAAAACGAGATCTCCCGTAGCTTACCACACCAACCTGGGCCATAGCAGAAGAAGAAACATTGCCAGGGCCTCACATGACGCCATCCACATCGAGAGGTTTGAATTCAGGCTTCATTTAACCTGTGGTTGTGGCATCTCCAGACAGATGACTGGTCCATTGGTGGCAAGCCGCCAAACCGCTGAACCATAAACTTTACCAAATCCTAAGCTCTACAGCCTCAACTTTACCAAAGCCTTTACCCCTAAACCCAAAAAGCCCTGAACCCCGAAACCCTAAACTTGACACACTTTATTGATCCCTAAACTAACCCCATAATCTTCTTCACCCTAGACTTTACTGAACCCTAAAGCCCTCCACCGGCACCTGCTCCAAGGAGCTGGGCTGCCAGAAGGGGTCCCAAGGTACTCAGCACATCGTACCTTTTGAGGGATTTTGGGGGGTCTCAGGTCGAGGGGTTAGGGTTCAAAAAGGGTTCGAAGGAAGCAAGAAGGTTCTCGCAACTTCTGGATCGAACGATGCCATAACGGGGCAGTGCCGGAAGGTCCGGGTGTTCCTTCTCTTCTTGCATTTGCAGACGGCATGAGGAAATGTCCTTGGGCCTTTGGGCAGAGCTGACGTCAGACATGAAACACGCCCCGACGCAGCGTCCTCAACAAGATGGAGAAGATTCAGAAGAGGAAGTCCCTGCAGTCGCTGGCGCTGTTGGTAGGAACAACTGGTCGCCTGATGGCGGGCGGATGACTGTGTCATGATTCTGATACCGAATGGGGCACGCTGCTACACCGAACAGCAGCAGTGCGATGGTCTGGAAACGCGGCAATGCCAGGGCCCGCCTGGAAAGCCATGAGCTCACGCAGCTGAGGGTTGCTCTTCCAGGCTTTGATGTCCGATGGTTGTAGGGCCAAGCGTGGCAGGAATGACACGTCTGAGGCCCCGGCGATGCCGTGATGGCAATGCACAAGTTGACGACTCAGCGGAAGATGTTAAAGTACTGCGCTTCGACTCACGGCGGGTATTGTTGGGAGCCAGACCGTTCTGCACAGGCCAGGCCCATGACAAAGGGAGGAGGAAGGCCACCAAGGTGCCGGCAACTGCCAAGCCTGGAGCGTCGAGAAGAAGAGCCGAAAGCCTCGTGATCAGATGTCGCCCGACCGTGGGACCTGCTGCCAGGATGCCGACCGATTTCTCCTGGCAGGCGGCTAGCCGCATCCGAGGGTGCCATTCCCACCCGCCCATCACCCGCCCACCTCCACGCTCCAACTCTCCAGCGCTGCCTTGACCTCTCCCTGAGCGCAGTGGGACGTGCAGGGATGCAAGCCGCCGGGATTCGGGAGCAGAGGGGGCGGGCCATCCGCCAAACGACACGGCAAGGCCCTCATTTTAAACAATGCGCCAGCGAGGGATTTGCAGTCGGCTGGTCTGAGGCAATCGTCTTTGGATCCGGACAGGTGTGCATTCCTGCGAAGGCCGGTCAGCACCAATGCCATGCCTCATGACATACAATGGCCACATGTGGCCTCTGTCCAATGCCGAGATCTTGGCCATGTCTTCCGCTGACAGGGTGCCCTTTGACCTTATCAGCCCGTGCACTCGACGGTGAGGCTTGGAAAAAAGACGGGAGGCGGCATGTTGACTAAAGCCAAGCCACACGGACAGATTTTCGAGCATGCGCTTTTCGTTGGCAGACTTCGGAATGACAGTGATGTCTCTCTGCAGCAGCCACGATAGCACCTGGAGCGTTGGAGAGAGTTCGATGGCTCGCAGTTGTGTCAAACACTGTCCTTAATGAACAAGATTCTAGACTCTCTAGGGACTCTAGAGACTCCAGAGTCTAGACGTTGAAATGACCAACGGAACTTTCGATGTTATTGCACTCTTTTGCGCCGAGCTTCCACCTGGCCCGGTCCTGGAACGAAATGCTTCTTCACAGAAAGCTTTCGACCAGTTCCACTAGGCACCGGTCCTATGTTTTTCTCCGTGGCAATCTGCAGAATCACGGGATCCTGACAGTTTCGATCTGAGCACGGCCCAAGCCTGGGCCTTGTCATGCAGGGCCACGGGCCTGCATCAGGTTCAAGTGCCCAGCGGCCAGAGGAGAGTACGCTGTGACCTGGCAAGGTTTGATGGCACCGGGACCTACGTAACCGCGCAAAAAGCCCACATTTTGGCCCGGCCTGAATGCCATGACCCTGGCAGTATTCGACGAGTTCCGCTTGGGCCTCAAGTGCCAGTGTCAGCACGAAGCTTGCTACCGCAAGAATCGCATTCGACGGAAGACGACAGTCCAGAGAGCCGAGGTAGAGACCAGATAGGGGTGAACCTCGATCTGATTCATCATGGGCATCACCTCGGCAGCTTCCGGCTCCCCAAAAGCTTTGGGTTTCTCCGGGCCCGGCCTTGCAGGGGAGCAAGTCTGCCAGGTGCTCTTTCCTTGCAGACACAAAGCTGCGGCCCCTTTCCGGGCCCCTCCGATGCGCAGCCGAAGCCAAGTCACGTGAAGTTGGACACCTGGGATCTCTTCAGACGCTTGAGCTCCCACAGTAGGCGGCCACCGGTACTTCGGCGTTTCGACGTGCAAGATCAACATCATTGAATAGCTTTACCGATGCTATTCGTCAAGGCATCCTGAATAGAAACTATAGTATAGTGCACTTCAAACCCCAACTCTGGTTATAAAGGCCCCTAATCTCTTGCACCGCGGAACGCCAATCGCTCTCGCCAGCTTTCTCTCGTAGATGCTCTCTAAAGCCGACCACATGTCCTCACCCAGTCGAATAGTTTCAGGTTTAGGGCCTTAGGGTTCGGGGCTCAGGGTTTAGAAACGCTTCGAGTCTGAAGGCCAGGGAGACTCCTTCCGCTTCGCCCTCATCAGTTCCCGGCTCAGCGTAGGCAGCACCTCGTCCTGCAGGGAAGCAATGCCTTGCATCGGCCTTCAAGCTCAGATTTCTTCACCTTCAACCAAGAGATTCCTCACCAAGCGGGTCCAAGAGAGGCGCGGGAGTTCAAGGCTCCTTCGGAACTCTGTCTTTCGGGAGTGCCGCGAGCCCGGGCCAGTGAATCAGCAGCAGATCCACGAATCCCACGCCCAAGTCATAGAGGCTTTGGTGGAACTCCTGCAACACGCCCTGGTAGGCGTTCAGCTCGGGGTTGTACCTCAGCTAGGCCGTTTCTGCTCGACACCACTCAAGTTCTAAAGTCACTTGGCATCTTGCTCTTGAGGTTACTTCGGCAAAGCACTACTCTAGATGTTCTCTGCTCTAGCTGATGGCAGAAACTTGGGATCTCCCACTGGAGCCTGATCCCTCTCTGATCCAAACGTGCTCCCGAGGTACATGTACTGCGTCTTTGCATTCGGGTAGTCGGCTGTGGGCATGTGGGCCACTTTCGTCGTCAGAAATACCTTCGAGCGCCCTACGAACATTGATTACAGGACAACAGGAAGGAGGCAGGAGAAGGCTTCGTCGCCTTGGCAGCCCCCACCCCATCTTTGTCAGAAGGCAGACTCTCGTGCCAGCTTGCCCTGCGCAAAGAAGTCGGCGAGAACGCCGCCAACCTGCCGCTCATTGCCGTACATCACCTGGGATCTGAAAGAAGAGTTGAACCCTTGCCCCCAACGAAAGCTGAGTGTGTGGTGGATAAGCACTGACGGAATGCTGTGATAGTCCCTTTCTCGCCGAAACAGAGCAAAATAGAAAGCTAGTGCGTCTAACTGTTACAGTATCATGTTGGCAGTACCCCTTTCCCAGCTCCAAGATCCCTTTTCAAAGCCCCTTTCGTTGCTCCAAGGGGCTGCAGAATCCACATGTCGGTAAGCCAGCCGCAGTGCCGTCCGCAGGGCGTGGCAGGTGAGCTCCGGACGCCGGATGCCGTCCTGGAAGTAGGCGGTTCCGTATCCGATCATGGGCACCTGAACACCTGGGCACCAGGGCCGACAGCGGCACCGAAGCTCAATGAAGCACCCGTGTGGCTTCGCGAGCCGAGCACCGTTGGCCAGCTGGATGCTGGGGCAAGCCGCGTTCCGGATGCACCTCGCAGAGCACGCCGCGACCGTTTCGGCTGGCTGCTGCGGTTGCATCTTGTCGCGAGAGAGCGAGAGAGGGGGAGAGAGACAGAGACAGAGACAGAGAGAGAAGAGAGACTATTGGATGTAGAACCAACGCAAAAACAAAGGGGGCAGGTACCGATCGTCCCTTCTCTCAAGACCCGGACGCGCCGACTCGGCTTCTGGAGCCACCAGTATCAGTGAAGCGAAGCAGCACCGATCGCATCTCACCTGCAGTGAGAGACATCGTGTAGCATGACCACAAAAAAAGACTTAAATCAAACGCGGCGGCCTGTCTTGAAAAAGCTCTTCATGGAGTCCTCGCCTATTTCCAGAGCAACGTTAAAGACGGCCATGAGGAAGGCCTCGGGTCCCCTTCCATAGACCCAGGTTTGCCCCCGAAAGATCCCTTCAAAACTCAGCTCTGGGGCCGAGTGCGTGCCCACGACGATCTCCTTCTCCGGCCGCGCCCGCAACCACAGCATGAAGTCGTGAGCCCTTGAGAATGTCTAGAGTCTACAGAGTCCTTATATGATTGTGTTGGTTACTCCTCCTCCTCCTTCTCCTGATGAGCTGTCGAGGCATGTGTCTGAGGCTCTCTGGAGCTTTTGCCCGGTTACCCGTTACGGAGGATAAACCCAAGCGTCGACAAATGACGATGGTATCTTTGTTGCTCAAAGTCAAGCCCGCCTGTGCGCCATTTCGTAGTACGTCTCCCGGCGCTTAGATGAGGTTGGATCCTCACAACAGCATACACTGTCCTACTGATCCTACTGAAGAAGAACAGCTGGCAAAAGCTTCCACAGCAAACTGAAGTTGGGAGCTGCCAAGGCTGAGGGTCCTCTTCGTGCTTGATGCACGAGCTGTCTACACCAGGGAAGGTCTCGGCATACTCAGATCTGCTGGACCGTCGGTCGCAGACATTCACGCCACACTGCTCTCTACCTAGGTAGACGACTAACCACAAGCCATCAGTTCAAGCAGCCTGCTTTGCTCCAATTGGGGCAACTGAGAGGCGTACAGCCTCCGTGAGCTATCACGGCCGTGCCACGTGCAATTGCCTCTCGGAAACCAATCAAGATGGTCTGAGTCCTGAGACGCAAATGATCTCCATGAAGCGGCGCGACATCACAAATAGAGAAGGGGCTAGGGCGATCACGCCCTCTTCAGCGGCGACACGACGAGGAGCTCTGGGTTCAGCAGCTTTGCCAGGGGCCACAAAGCCTGCAGGTCTCTTCAGCACCGCTCTTGTGGAGGAACTCAGCTTAAGATGCCCTGGTTACCCTACGTACGAAAATTCAATTCTTTACTACACACCCTCACCATGCATCTATCTCAAGCTAGGAATTCTTAACAAAACGACACAGCTGTGCCCTTGGCAGAAGGACCTTTGCATCAGCGATGCCAAGGCAGGTGAGCGGCGGATCTTGGATCGCCTCCTGGACACACAGAACAGGGCGCGACCTAAGTGCCTAAATTGCCAGGATCAACGTCACAGGCCTGCAAGTAGGGATTGAAGGCATCTTTGTGCACTTTCTCGTAGTCTCCCGAATCTGTGAAGCTTGCACCAAGCTGCCGCGAAACTTCGGCGAGCAAGTTGTGGTAGCCCTCGCGTCCAAAAGCAAAGTGGGCCACAACCGAAGCTAAGGGAACGACGGCCTGGCCATGGCGCACCCAGTGAATGAGCTTCGCATCCTGTGCGCCAAAGGACAAGCATGGCCAGTTCCACGTTTGCTGGTGGCACACGGAACCCTTTCCTGGCCAGGCCTCTGGCACGGGCATCCCAGGCTCCCATTGCTGCGCCGAGACCCGTACGCCAGGCGGCTCGAAGCGCTTTGCCGCCTCCTGCGCCCGGCTCGCACCCCCAAGGGCCCCGAAGCGCCCAAGAGCCGGGGGCCCCCACCTCCGCCAGCGCAAGGTGTTCGGCGTGGCAGGCCGCACGGAGCGCTTCCGAGGCCATGGGGTCTGAGGGCTCGGGCTAAGGCGGGGCCTCTGCGACTTTGGCCTGGCTTTGGGCTTCCGTGCCACTGGGTTTAGCATCGCAGTCCAAGGCTGACCGAGATTGGAGCTCCAGGAAAAGCTTAGCTGAAGCTGAGAAGCGGCGCGAGCCGAGGGCCGAGGGTCTGCGCACAGAGAGGCAAGATAAAGGGTGGTCTGTGCTGTTGCGTGCCTTGGTGGCCAGGAAGGCGAAGGCTCCGTTGGAGACCAAGGTCCCTGTCTGGCCGAAAACACTCTGCAGAGTGGTCCTTTTGCTTTTACCTCCAAGCTTCTCTTTACGACGTTTAGGACCATGCATCGGGAAGCAACCTTCGCTGGAGAACCTCCCCAAGGCCTAAACCCGACGGCCCGTTCCCTTTCTCATCCGCGGAGGCCACAGGCTCCGGCGTCTTCAGGGTTAAACTAAGTACCCACCACCTAATCCTCCTTGCTGCATCCCAAAAATATACTGACATGCGTTTTTTGGGCACATTTTTTCGACCCTCCCCCCTCCCCGGGAGGGGCTGCTCTGTCGAGCCGAGGCGGGCTGCGTTCGAATGCACCTGGGCCCCCAGGCCAAGCCCAAGCCCTAAACTTTAGACCCAACGGCCCGTTCCTTCTCGTTTAACCTGAGCCCCAGGCCAAGCATCAGAGCCTGGGACACGGAGCCTTGGCCGCCTTGGCCGCCTTGGCCCTGCCGAGAGTCGGAGCGACGAGGCGCATCACAGAACAACCAAACATATATTATATTATATAGTATATATTATATATTATATATAAGCACCCAAGACACGCTTACAGCACATCCAGCAACCGACAAGAGACGCGGCCTGCAGGGACAGGAGAGCCAGAGAACCCGCCAGCAAGACACCTGGTGAGGAAACCCACGGCCCGGCAGTCGCAAGCAATTCGGAAACTCTGGTGACAGCGGGGGACGACATGTAGCATGTTAGAAGCCTGTGTCATGTGAAGTTCATGGATCAGGCTTGGACCTGTGGTGGTTGGGTTCTGTCTCTCAGAGGAGAACATCTGCTTTAGCTCGAGGACGGAGACACTTGGTGGCCTGGTGGCCCCTTCATTTCAAGGTGGATTCGGGGCGTCAAGTGTTCAGAGCTGCGAAGCACTGAAGGCATGGTGTAGACTCAGAGAAGGGGGTGGCTGAAATCGGCTTCCTTCTTCAAGATGGCAAAATGATGGTTCTGCTCTGCACCTGTATGCTATGCAGATGTGCCCTGTGAGGCGAGAGTTCACTATCGATTTGTACAGTCGGCCCAGCACGTCTTCACACTGGGTCACAGCTACGATAACAGACCTCTGCAGCGCGGCAATGCACAGGCGTCAAGCGGCTTCGCCGCTTTCAGGCTGTAAGACCAAGCGTCACAAGTCTGGAAGAGTGGCTTCGCTTTGCTGCACGCATGTGCGACATCACATGGCTACTGCTTCTGGTTTCGTTGTGACGGCAAGACATGTCGTACACTTTGGTTCACTAGCACCTCGCTCAAAGGCCTTTGAATATCACAAGCCTGCCCTCCCTCGTAGGAACAGACCATGGAGACTTCTCCCTCCAGGGCTGTCATGCCTGAAAGGTCAGCTCTTTGTCTGAGCAGTCCGAGTCACTCAGGGCCGTGCCCCCCAAGACCTGGAGAAAAGGACCCATGGTTTTGGTTTAGGGTTCAGGGATCAAGTCAGGAGTTTACGACGAATTCCCCACGCAGCAGCCTTTGCCACTGCATCGACCCAGCTGTCGCCGGCGTTGTTGCCTTTGCTGGCAGCTTCGTGGCAAGCCGCAGGCACATCCCACGAGCTGAGGGAGACGTCTGAACTTTGCTGGCATTTGATCACCCGGCAACAAGCATTTGAATCAAGGGACGCTTCTTGTGCAGGCACCAGACGGGATACTGCTGCCAGCTTGTCTCTTCAGTTTTCGGGGTGGTTGCTATCCTTGGCGAAACTCCAACGGCCTCTCCAATGTGAGACAGAAAACGACAAGACTTCAAGATCATGCTATCTAACTTTGCTTGTGGTTCTGCTTCTTGCCGAGCTCATAGATACCGAAGTCCATCTGATGGTCCTCAGTACCCTTGAAGTACGACACCTGGAACTCGAAAATGGAGACGCCTGGAGACAAGCACAGATCTTGCGCATGTGAGGCGGAGACCCACAGACGGCACCTGTCAGGTTGGCACCAGCACCACCACAACTGCTGGAGCCAACCCACGAGGCAATTTTCCCGTAGTCGGATTGGAAGTCGCTAATCGGGTTCTTCTTCTCTGACTGGTACCAGGCCTTCTTGCAAGAGCGCGGAAACATGCACAGTAGACTCCTAGGAATCGTATCGCACTCACAACGTATCTGCGTTTCTGCTTCAGCAAGCTGCCTTGTACTCGCCAGCCCAAATCGGCATACCTGAAAGTGGCGTGCTTTTTAAAGGCTGCAGCACCTGCTCGCAGATGGTATCCTTAGATCCAGTGGCACATGCAAGCATGCAGCCAGGGTTGGCAGCTGGCTTTCTTTGCCCTCGTGCCGGGGCTCTGTGATGTCTTGCGTGTTAAAGCCCAGAAGGAAACGGTGCTGCAATGCGGCCCGCAGGTCATGGTGTGGGGCGTAGTTGTACACGCTTGGCGAGAGCATTCCCTGCAGGGACCGGCCTAGACATCCCAACAAGAACCACGAGCACCCGCAACGCAATCATCACCAGGATCGCCCACTTTCCGGAAGCCCTGCCACCACGAAGTCGTACATAAAGCCCAGAGAAGCAAGCGTTCCGACCTGCACCTTTGAAGGCGAGTTTAAGCGCCCACCCAGACGGGTCTCCATGCAGAGTGCACGTGACATCACCCTCACATGGACTCTGAAACCCCAGAGGCCTCTCCGGCTTTGTTGCCTGAGTAGACTGCAAAATCGGTCGGATTGTTCCAGACTCGACCCATACCTCTGAAAAGCCTCTTAGCATTCTTGATTTCCTGACACCTGTAGCAGCACAAGCAAGGACACACAGCCCAACCTGCAACGTTGGACTTGCAGGTCGGGCAGGTGGCAAACGAGTGGACCTCAGAGCACCATCTTCCGCCCGCCAAGGACCGGCTCGCAAAGTCGATGGGGAAGACGGACCGAACACAGACACAGCATCCACCCACATCCACCCACTATCCACCGGCACCTCCACCTAACTGCAAGGGGACCCCAAAAAATGGGATGAGTTGTATCCCGAGCGCGACAGTGAAGGGCGGCAGGCGCCCATGGAGGCGCATGTCCTCCGGAAACTTCCAGGACGAGGCTTCGAGGTGGCTCAAAGCCCGACAAACGTTGAAGCCGTTCAATCCTTGGGGCTCTTGGTTCTGGGGGAGGAGAAAGGGGCAAAGTCTCCTTTCCCCAGCTTTTCCCACCCTCGAAACTCCGGTGGCCTCTTCGGCAGCCAGAGCGCCGTCGATCGCAGAGAGGAGGGCCTTGGCATAATACCTGGGCTTTGCGACGCTTCCGGGTTTTGGGTAACCAAGGCATGCTTGTTTACTTCTGTCCTCCGTCGGAAAGGCCGCACTCCTCAACTGCTACAAGGTGCCAGATATATCCAAAGTGGCTTCGCCGTTGGGTGGAGCACCGACAAGCTCCGAGGTAGTCGACACGCAATGTCATACTAACATATTCTGACGGTGCTTGCAAAGGACCCCGCACACCTGCGACTGTTCCGACTGTTCAATCTTTCCCCTGAACTTCTCTCATGTTGTGCCTTTGTTTGTAGGTGAAAAGCTTTCGCCAAGGTGCCCTTCGCTCCAGGCCTCCTTCGCGATGGTGCCGTCGTAGGTGATCTTCAACTCCGGCTCGTTGATCAGGATCACTGCCTCAGGGATTGAGCTCCTTTCTACTCCCATTCGACGCTCAGGAGTCACAATCCTAAACACAGACAACACGATGAACGCTGATGGCCTTGATGCTCGGATGGTAATACATGCGACCATCGGGCCCTTTCTCGGCAAATCCATTCCGGAGCATGGCGGAATACTGCGACCTGCTGGCACGGTTGCTGTTCGCTCGGCGGCGAACTCAGCTTGCGCAAGGGGCCTTATTTCGTTGAAGCAGTTGTATGGCAATCCTGTTGCACATTTGCCGGTTTCATCCTGGCAGATGTGGTGTCACCAGCGCAACTAAGTCAAACCGCTCAGTGACTGCGCAAGCTGTGTCCTGCGTGTATGGGTAGTCTGAGATCGCCTTCACAAACACCAAGACAAGCGCCAAGACGCACTCTGTGGGTGAACTGTGAACTGGAAGCTATCTAGAAATCCTAAGCTGAGGAGCCACCACCACGCTGATGCCCAGCTCATAGGCTCGGTTCAGGAAACGCTTGTGATTCAAGCGGGGATCGTTGCCATAGAGTCGCAAGGTATCTATGTTCCTTGGCTACAGACACGAGGGGAGCACATGGGAGCCAAGAGCTGGCACCACACCGTTGCGCCGGCGTGAAAAGCAGGACCGTGGCGAGGCACATGGCGCGAATCGCGCTCAAATCATCCCGCCCTGGGCTGCCCCAGAGTGGCTGGGCCCACTGAGCCATGTAATCGTCTGTAGGAAGATGTGTGATGGTCTTTGCAGGAGTTGGTGCATAGCACCTGGAACTGGAAACTGCGGACGTGGCAGCCACAATCACAATCCCAGCCATCATTGCTTTAACGACAGCAATCCCTACGACAGGGACGAAAGAGCCTTTCGTGGGCTGTGCGCAAGTGCGGCTGAGCAGCATGCTATGGAACGGAGCTAGAGCAGCATTGGACGGGATTGGTCTACCTGAGACCAGACACTTTGGACAGCCGGCAAGGAATTTGATAACGAGCTTCCTGGTATGAATCCATGGTTGGAGATGACCGAGTAGAGGTCGGGCACAGTTTACTCGTGCCAAGACTCAGCACTCAAGTAGCACTCCTTCGGGAGTTGGGCAGCAGTTGCCCGTGAGACCGGAGTCAGAGCACTTCGCCTTGCGCACTCTGCTGGAATATCTATGATGCCTCTGCAATTCAGAAACAAACGTAATCCAGGAATCGCATATGCGTAGAAGCAACATGCAATGCACGATGTGTAAGAGTACTTCATAGTAGATGGGACAACCGGAGTTGTGATAGGAGCATGTGCAGTCCCTATCTCCCTTCGACAAACTGTAAAGCTTGAGTCTAGACTCATGCGCTGTGCATTCCGGCATGTAAACTGGAACAGGCGATGGAGGTGGCGCTGGTGCAGGCGGTGGGTCTGGACCCGTACCAGAGGAATCCACAAACGTCCTCACGAGTGATCATGTACGAACTCGAGTGCAAGCTCAATACAAGGAGCACATAGCCTCTGGAGTGTAATCGAGAGGCATCACACAGACGGTCAGCGCCAGCGCCGCAAGGGCCACGCAGATGACGGCCAGGAACCCGCCACAGCCGCGCGAGCGCTGGGCGACGACCCACGAGGCCGTCGGAGATGCAAGCATGGTTCGGAAAAAGGCTGAGGCTGGCTGTGGCTGTCGTCTTATGGGTCGGGGTCGGGTCGGGTTGGGGGGTCGAGGTCGGGGGTCGGGGCTGGGCTCAGAAAGTCGGTATGTGTATGATCCGCATTGACTCTGTGATATATTCTGAGCTGAGGCAAGCACCATAAAGACATGCAAGTAATTGAGCTAGCTACGTTCTGCATGCTTGAGTTTGCGGGATGCAATCAGGAGCCGCTCTTCTAGCTGCGTTGGTTGCATGACTCCTAAACTGTCTAGACACCAACTACTGATCCTGACGACGCTTCTTTCTCGACGCTAATATGGTATCACTTGTCACTTCTCATCATGGTTGCATCTATTTGCACTTCTCGACAACACAGAGATTCCAAGGAAGGCACCGAGCAGGAGCGGGAGGCCCAGAGCCTTCCCGCAGGCTTTTGGAGGCAGCTTCGATCGAATTTCCGAGCAGAGGGCTTAAGTTTAGGGCGACCCAAGGCCCGGCAAGTCTTGTCATCTTGCAGAAGTCAGGCCGAGACCTTTATCTTACATATTGTGTTATGTCACGAAGAGCCGGGATTGTGGAGAGAGGATATTTAAAAATTCAGCCCAACTCCCGAGACGGGAGCCTGCTGCGTGTCGCTGAGGCTGTCCAGCTCCTGCTCGAGCTCATCAGCTTCCTGCCTCTTCCAGAAGGGTTCGTTCGACGACCGCTGCACTCTGAACATTTTGGAGCTCAGGATTTCTCTGCGGAGTTCCGATTTTCGGAAGAAAAGTGAGCCCCAGCCGGACAAGCTGCAGCGAGTACGTCACCACTTCGGCTCCTGAGCTCGGCTGGCAACTCCGGGCCCAGGCCCAGCAGCTCCGCCGTCAGCGTCACGAGCCGCTCCCCGAGCGAGGCAGGCAGCAGCACCTCGAAAGAGGAGGCCAAACGCAGACGAGGACAGCCGAGGATTAGGGCGACCACTGATCGTCGGGCCGCGACGAAGACGCCCCAGAAGGCCTGAGACCGTGCGAACTGCCGCTGGAAGACGAAGACATCCAAAAGACATCTTTTCAGGCTTGGACCAGGACGTAGAGGAAGATCCGCTTGGAGACCACGAGGAGAATGCACGGAACTGTCGTTGTGCCGGGGGCAGCAACAGCAGGACTGCAAGTGAGCTGTCCCAAAAACCACTGCACATGGCCACACTGTACTTTGACATACTTCTTCTTCTTCTTCAGAGCATGTATGATGCTCGACTAGTAGAAAGCCTCCTGCCCCAGCAAGTCCGGGTGCTGCGCCGCTGCGGCAGGCCTCCAACAGCCAAGGGAAAAGGACCTCAGCATCCACAAGACTGGTAGGTCCTTTCGGTCTGGAAGGCCCGCCGAGGGCCCCGACAGCCCCGAACGCAGAAGTCAGCACGAGGGCCGGGTACTCATACGACTCGTATGACTCGCGCCCCTGCGTCTCCTTCCCCGTCCCGGAGCGAGGGACCACTCCGACTCGCCCAAGTCGGCCGCAGACAGCAGCGATCATAGTAGCGCACAGGCTACTGCTCGCCCGCAACTTTGGTCCATGGGCGCCCGTCGCCAAAGAGTATGCCAAAGGTCGTCCAGATCGAAAATGCGATGCAACGTGCCAATTGCACCCGCCACGTGTCCGCGCCAGCAACACTGGCCCTTGGCGCTCCATGCTACTAGTCCAGCACGCAAACTGCCAGTCTCACTGGAATGCAGTGTCAGTCCTTCGCTTTTCTCAGGAACACTGGGGTGGCCTATGGGTTCTGAATAAGCTTCAGCAGCTAGATTACCCCCTGAGCCTCACATGCGAAACACGAGACCAGAGCAGAGCAGAGCAGAGCAGAGCAGAGCAGAGCAGGGCAGGGGGGCGCATCGTGCAGGGCAGAGGCCTCGCGGAGCAAAGGCGCCAGGCTGAGGAGGCCCGGCACGCTCACGGCCCCGTAGAGCACGGCCACACCCTGCAGCCCCCAAACTGCAGGACAGAGCTCGGAGAGCTCGGGCTCCCCACCGCGGTGCCACTGCGAAGCTGCAGGTCCAGGCCTCTGAAGGAACGGGGCGAGGGGTGGGGCGACATCTTCCGACACCCTTTGCAGCTGCGGAGCGGCTTGCTGCGAAACCGGTCGCCAAACCTCCAAACGAGGATTCCCCACATTCGCAACCGAGAAATGAATCAATTGTGTCTGTGACCTGAAGTGCTGGCCGCCCGGAGGGCTTTGCGCAGGGTCTCGGCCTCAACTGCTGCATGAGAAGCAGCACCGAAAAGGAGGAGGAGGAGGAGGAGACAGAGAGGGAGAGAGAGAGAGAGAGAGAGAGAGAGAGAGAGAGAAGAGAGAGAGAGAGGGAGAGAGAGGGGCAGTGCTGATGCTCGCTCCGTCTCGCAACCAGTACGCTGGCACTCCAGCTGTGGGAGGCCGGCATTGCACGCCGCGGCCGGCAGGTCCCCGGAGCCGCCGGGCCTCTGCACACGGAGTCCCCGAGACCAGTCCCCGAAAAAAAACAAGAGAAGCCCTGGGGCCCGGTCCACAAGAGCGCCCAGGCGCCAGCAGTGCACTCCTTGCCTTCACACAGACGAAGCACGCAGAAGCAGACAGAAAGCCGTTTCTGAGTCTTGGGCCGTAGAGGTTCCTGCACTGAAAAGACGTGACATGACGTGACCAAGCATCGTGAGTGGACAAGCACAGGCCTGTCTGTCCGTTCGAGTGATCGCAAGGATTCTATGCGAGGAGAATCTTAGCAGGGACCGATTCGCACTGGCATTCAAACGGATTGCAAGCACACTGAATCCCTTCCATGCCGCCCAGCTGCAGTAGGAGTTGGACACCAGCAGCTCGTGGTAGGTACGAGCCGAGCTGGAGGTCAACAAAGCCTGCAAAGGTGCCAAGACGATGCCTCACTGCGATTTTTTCACGCCTGAATGTCAAAGCCTCAGCTGCTGCTAGGCCGCCGCCCTGCAGGCTGGAGTTGCCTGGGACTTACAGCAAGATTCCCCGCCTGCTTTTCTCGGTTCCAAGTCCCACTTCCCGGACGCCGCAGCTCAGGCAGAAAGGCCGGCGTTTTCCACTCAAAAGAGCACGGCGGTTTTCTGCAACGATCAAATTCAAGCAGGAGCTATTCACACGGAAATCTTTACGATCTCGATAATGACAAGTTTGCATCTTGTGGCCACCACTCGCACATCTGGGTTGTACATCGCGAAACATGGTATGGAACACACAACTACGGTCCTGTGGATCACGCCACGAAAGCACAACTTGACTGCGCCTGCGACTTTGCAGGTCACCTGGAGAATTGCAGACAGAAGATGACTATACATGTGACCTGGCCGTGCAGCTCTGAGCCCCATTGAGGCGCAGCACTTTGCCTTTAAAAGTCCTTTAAACAGTCGCTTCCTTCGGTTGGGAGGCAATGTCGGACGGCCACAGTTAACCATGTAAATCCACGGTACAATCGCGTACTGTGCAGCACTCTGGTGCCTGCGCCGAACTATGGTCGTTGGGCTTTACACTTTGGCCGGCGGGTTTAAAAAAGTTTTGACGGCACAGACACTACTCACTGACTCATTAGACTCCGGACGACATCAGATACTTTCGCGGGTCATCCATGAGCTTCGCAGCCTTGGCCGCTGACCCACCGCAAGCAGGCCGTCTCCGGTTGGCTGGTCAGAAGTATCACAAGAACACCATAGGGAAGGCACACTGCCGGGACGCCCAAGACGAGCCCCGTCATTACAGCGCTAGACTTCCAGTCCCTCTTTCGCCTCTGGGCATCTGCCTTCTGACGTGGGATCAAAGGAAGTGCACACGCACCAAGCATAGAGGCCGTGTAGGTCAGCACGTAAGACCATGCGACCGTAGTTCGAAAGCTAGGCAAGTCCGCAGCATAATTCTCCGGCTTCGACAAGGATGGTGTGAAGAGGCTGGAGACTTGATTGCTGACGGCCGTGGACACAGGCTGGCTGGAGTGCATAACCGTTCCGATGAGGCCATAGCACAAGCCTTCCTGTCCAGGCTCCGAGAGCTCGATGACCATCAGGTTCAGGACCAGGGCCAGAGCTGTTGTGGGCACAGCCGCCACGACCTCCTCGCCTAGGTAGAAGTACTGGTCACGAATCACATCGAAGACGGCCAAGAAGGTTGGGATGGCGTCAGTGATTGTCACCGTCACAATGGCAATGAGGATTGCCCTCCGCCAACAAGACTGGAGGAAGTACACCTTGTACGCCGCCGTGGCCAACATCATCACGAACATGCCCCCCATCTGGAACAGCTGCTGTTGCAAAACCTTCACCTGGACCCACTGGTAGCGGACCATGGGCCCTGCAGTGGTTGTGATGCCGGAGAAGAACTGGCTGATGAAGGCAAACAAGAGTACGCTGGAGAGGCACTTGCTTTTGACCAGATGCCTCAGCTGGAGCTCAAAGCCCAGCGACACTTCACGAAGGCTTTGTGACCCTAAGCCCTAAGCCCTGAGCCTGCCTATGGTGCAGGCAAGCTTCCATGAGGACTCCAAATGCGCCGTCAACGACGGGCGCTCCACCTTGCGGGGCTCGTGCACGCAGCAGGCACAGACAACGAGGAGCACAGCAGAGATGCAAAAGCAGAGCGTCATCAGGCCATTGAAAGATAGACTCCAGTCGAAGGTGCCCAAGTACTCCTTGCCGTTCATGAAGAAGGCAATGACGACGGAGGAAGCAAGCGACCCTGCCATCGTGACTATGGTGAACTCTGCCTTCATCTTCCCGCGCCTCATCAGAGGCTCTCGCTGCGAGTATTCCAACAGCAAGCCCTCTCCAGCCACACAGCCCATCTGAACACCCGCGACGAGAATGAACATGGGGAAGACGTACCAATTCTTCTCCTTGTGAATGCTTGGATTGCAGGGAGGCGACAGCGTGTCGTAGGTGCCGTCAGGAAACTGACAGTAATAGGGCGGAGGCAGTGGCCACACGCTCATGACCAGCAGCGCACCTCCGCACAACACCCACGACGCCAGGAAGTAAGGTTTCCTGTTCTGACCACAGATGGGGAGGCAGTCGTTCATCATTCCAAACGGAAGAAGCAGCACTTGTGGAAGCTTCATGAGGGCGGTGACAGACATCATGACGTTTGAGTCCAATCCCATGTAGCCGAGGAAGAACCCATAAGAAACACCCATCACGGTGGCGTTCAGGAAGGCAAGAAAGAAGCCACCAAGTGGCAAGCCGCAGGTGCGCCATGTCCACAGACTGATGGAGTCCTCATCTCCAGATTCCTCAGAGGTGGATTCTTCCGATGAAGTTGGAGCCTCTGTATCAGACTTGGATGCCTTTGCAGGCTCTGGTGCACGCGGGGCGAAGAGATAGTCCTCCAGGTCCTCGGTCATGCAAAAACCTCTTCTTCGGGGTGCTTCTGAGGCTTGCTCTTAAGACTAAAAGCCGTACCCTGGGCGGCAATGGGCAAGCACGCGGTCGAACGCGAAACGGCCTACTTTGTCAGTACATCTGGGCACGACTTTATCTCTCCGTCCCAACACAGCTGGCACCATGCGAACGAATTTCTGCAAAGGCACGTTTATGGCTCCGGCCTCCAAGGGACTCGTCTGTCTCACAAAGGCTGTCGACCTTACCGGCACCGGCGCGATCTGATGTCCGAAATCTGTGGTCTGCCGCTCAAAACCTGACGATTGCCGCCCGAAATCTGACGTCTGTCGACCGAAGTCCGACGACTGCCGCTCTGTTGATCGTGCTACCGGTGGCGTCACCCCGGTCATGCTCTGGACAGGACAAGGCGGATGGCTCAGATTCTAATGCGGCTGTAGGACTATGACTTTGGTCCGGTCCTGTGCACCCACATGGCGGCGGAAGTTTAACAAGCACTGGCAAGGTGTGCTCCTTGCGAATACATGCCAGGCTGCCGTAGCACAAGAAGCAACATGACTTCAACAGATGCTAGAAGAATTGTGCTGCAACATCCCTCTGTTCCTGTAGCCTCCCTGGTCCAGCAAGCATTGTTTACGGGAGCCCGACCCAAGACATGAAGAAAATCCGATGCCTGCACAGGGGACAGGCCACGGAAGTTGGTCATGGCAGGGCATGAATCCGCCTGACCCACTTCGACATCTCGAATCCACTCCAAAGACTGCGCCTTCAAACCAACTCACGGCAATCCAAACTGACATTGCACGACACGAACCTGGTTGGCCAATCGGCTACATTTGATGCCAGGGAGTGTCTTAGCCGACGACCGCTGCCGGAGTTCGTGGCCAACCACTGACAACTTGCGCGCTGACTTTGAACGCTGCCTCCCATCAGCAACACGAGTTACAGAACTTGGCGCTCACAGCTTGTGCTGACCCTAGCAGGGCAAGCTAAGTATCCCAGCAACAAAAAACAACATTGGAGCTATACTATGAGGTTTGCACCAATTCTTCAGGACCTACATCAGCTTTCGGACGCCTGCTTCTGAGCGGGCGCGCTTGTTGGCCAAATCGAAAAAATGCAACTGGCCACCAAGAGCACTGCCATGTCGAGGCCTAAACTATATGCTGTCCAATTGTCCAAATTCGACCTGGTAGTGCTGAAAAGCTGGGGGTTCATGCGCGTCCATAGTTCTTGGTCATGCTGTACGCAAGCAAATGTAATACAAGCCAACGCACGCATGCGTTGTGGGTCCTCCATAGATTCCATAGATGGCAGAACTTGCAACATAAGCCTGAAGGCGGCTGCAGCAGCACGAGATGAAGCATTTTTGCCCCCACGACTTAAAAGAACTTGCGAAGGGCATGACCTGGATTAGGATAGTTTAACAGTTCTGCAGTCCATGCATAAAACGCAGGTACAGGGTAAGGTGAATATTAGAATTCAAGATATGACAAAACTTGAAATGCGCAAAGCCCAGTTGGAAGGAAAGTTGCATTCCAACCTACTTTTGAAACAGGCAGGCATGGTCTGAATCAATATGATCGATAAACACAAGACATTTCTACACTCTTTGTTCAGCAAGTTTGGAAAGAAAGTCGACGAAGCTTGTCATGGGCCCCTCACTTAAGTCCCAGGTGATACCGGGCCAGCATCCATCCATTTATGCTGACTGGTTTTGTGACTATTCGGTCACTCAGCAGCAGTTGGACAAGCCACACGCTGCAGCTATTCTCGCTCGCACGCGCTGCATAATTCTGCGCTTAGCTAGCTGTCTCCGACGCAGACTTTAGCACCACCTCCTTCCAGTAGCAAAAAAGCAAAAGTCGATCTCTGGAAAATCACAAGTTCAGACTTCAAAACATGCCAAAACCATCTAAGACTCTGTCTCCATTCAAAAAGATCCAGACTTGATGCTGAATTTCTTGAGGTCTTTTGCGCTTTTGTAGATTGGAGGTGCCGAACGTAAGAACGTTCCACAGAGTTTGGTTAGTGAACAAGTCCAGCTGCCCACATACATGGTGAGTGTTAGTGCGTTTTTTTGAAAATGTCACCAAGCAAGAAGCACAAACGGACGTCGACCAACTAGCACCACAAAAGACAGTGATGTAGCAAGCAATGGGCAAAAAAACAATCTAGTTTGCCAAAAACTGCTGCGCCGTTTGCTGTGCGTGATTACGGATTGTGCCAGTTCAGGATACTAGGCAGATGAAGGAAAATCGGACACAAGAGCAAAGCAGTGGGGAAGAGCCTTAAATGGGAACATCAGGTACCAGACAGCCTGAAGTGCAACAGTGCAAAGTATGTTGTGCATGGGTGAGCGAGCGGAACGGAACGACGGTGCAGATGTCAGGAAGAGACTTAGGGATTCTGCTAAGGCGAGTGTGCACTTGTATTTCAGAAACTCTGACAGATTGTGGGCAAAGATCCGGCAAGGAGAGCTGGGGAGGAGGGAAGCGACACCCAGACAAGCCGTTCCACCAGTCACCGGCGGGTAGTTCAAGAGAAAGATCCGACAAGAGCTGTGTTGAGCTTGCTGCCGTTTCTTGAGTGCTCCCAGGTGCACCTTGACAGATGAATGAGACGCAAACAGTCTCTATGCCAAGCCAAGAGACCGCAGGAACCTCTTGCATACGTGGAGGCCAAAGCGTGCAGCTGGTAGCTGCTTAGGCACACACAAGGAAGGTGCCGGTGTTTCTTGAGATCTGCTCTGCTGAGGTCCGGAAGTACAAGAACATGTTTTTGTGGATTTGTGCAGTCCGGAGCAGTGCAAGTGGACAAGAAGCGTCGTAGCTTCCAAAAAAGTTATCACTGCTGCGCTTAGCTTGCTTTTTTTGGAATGGACACGTTTCAGTGCCTGGATAGAAGCTAAGACAAGCTTGTTCCCAAGCTGCGAAAGATCAAGCGAGACGCTCAAAAAAACGCCACGCCGCTTGAAACCATGCCCCAATTCCCAAACAAGTCTTGACCGAAAGCTAGAAACCACGAGAACCACTTTTCTCTCCTTATCACAGTGTGGTCCAACGAAACGCGCAGTTTCTTCCAGAAATCGTGCACCTGGCAAGACCATAAAGAACCACAACCACACCATAAGAAAAGCGGTCCATTGCGCTTGATACTCTCTTTTTAAACAAACAACCCTCTTGTAAAATGTGTCGCGTGGTTGTTCGGCAAATTTTAGTTGCGCGCAAACCATGTTCTATAGTGCCACACAAAGAGAGCATGAATGTGACAAAGCCAGTTGGGTAGTCTTTCGACGCGGAGTGCTTGAAAGTGGGCCGGTCTCATACACTGCCGACGCAGCAATAGTACGCCTTCATGCTGCTGTTGGGAAGCTTTAGCGAAGTGCAACGAGCGTATGCACGGGTGAGCGAGCGGAACGGGACCACGACGGTGCGGATGGCGTCAGGAAGACGAGGTCGCGGCGCTCTGCTTGCACGTGGATATTTATTTAGTGTTCCATGCAAACACGTCGAAGATGGTGTCTTCTAACTGCTTCTGCGGTGCCATGGAGGCCAGTGTTGCCTGAGGTTGGGCTCATTTTCATGTCAGGTAACAACAACATAAGCAAGCCAAAAAGACACAGGCTGTGCCCTGTCAAATCCTGTCAAGGAAGCTCAAGCCCCTGATGTTGCGCTTGCGCTCTCGGGTTCAGAGCACATTGCTTCGCTCACTCCGATGCCGTTGCACTTCCTGGACCAGCAGACCTCTATTCTGGCCTTACATATGCAAGAGGTTCCTTGCGGTCTCTTGGCTTGGCATGGAGACTGTTTGCATCTCATGTCATCTGTCAAGGCGTAGTGTAGCACAAGTTCACTTGGCAACCTTCCAATCCTACAACATGTGCACCACTGATACTGCACTGGCACTATCAGGGTGCTGCCCGCGGGCTAGCCAATCGGTGGACATCTGCACATCCACAGTGCCGTGGTCCGAGTGTTGCTGTGCGGCCAGGTTCGACGTGTAGCAAGATGCATACATAAGCCTGACTGAGTTATGGCTCTTCAACATGCCTGCAAATAGGGTAGTTCAAGAGAACAAGATCCGACAAGAGCTGTGTTGAGCTTTCTGCCGTTTCTTGAGTGCTCCCAGGGGTGCACCTCATACACTGCCGACGCAGCAATAGTTACGCCTTCATGCTGCTGTAGGGAAGCTTTAGCCCGAGCTGACCTGTCACGCGCAGATCTCCGGTGCTGCCGGCACCTTCGAGTGCTGCGGTGCCGCCGGCAAGTGACACCGATGGTGGTGCTGCTCGCAAATGAGGGCTGTGCGTGTGCTAGATCCGCATCTCACACCTTAGGCCATATTACTCATACTGTGCCCCAGCTTTTGGCTTGCTTATGTTGTTGTTACCTGACATGAAAGTGAGCCCAACCTCAGGCAACACTGGCCTCCATGGTACCGCAGGAGCAGCCAGAAGACACCATCTTCGACGTGTTTGCATGGATCACTCAGCATCAGCGCGAAGAACACTTCGGGCGCTCGCTTTTCAGCCCGAGCTTGCCGGGGCCATGCACTGCCCTTGCTCCTTGGACATGTCGCAGATACCGGGGACCTTATAAGGACTCGACGTGTCGACGCGTCGCTGCAGCCCTAAGCAGTGGCATCGGCTCCCTGCAGTGCCAGGATGCGGCCCCAGAGCAGGCCTAAGCCAGCCGGCAGGGCACTTCGGGTTCGAGACGATCAGGGTTTATGGTTCAGGGTAACAGACTCTTGGAGCTATAGAGTATTTTGAAGGCCTAGAGTTTGGGACTTGCTGGCCGCCAAGAGCCACTTTCAGCGATACATGCACGAGCAAGCGCTGACTGTGCTGTGCCTTTCGCCACTGCCTGTAAGGGGTGCATCGAGCTGACGACATCTCCCACAGTTTTAACAGCGCAGGTGCCGACAAGAGCTGCGTTGAGCTATTTGCCATTTCTTCAGTGCTCCCAGGGGTGCACCTCATGCGCTGCTGACGAAGCAGTGGTTACGCTCGCATGCTACTGTAGGGAAGCTTCAGCCTGAACGGATCTCCGGTGCTGCCGGCACCTTCGAGTGCTGCAGTGCCGCCGCCAAGTTCCATCTGCTACCTGCACCTCCACGATGCTCGGGGTCGTCCATAATCAGGTTGCTGCAGCAACCTCGTCGCATACTTCCGGTTGATTTTGGCGCATTCCGTCAAGCACCCCCTTGGCCAATCAGCAATCAGCAACTGGGACGACGGCCGTCTAGGGTCAGTGTAGTATTATTTCTCAACCAAGTCAGGCATCTCATCGGACGCCCGCATGTCACTTGCAATTTGCACTGCCTTTGCATGCTTCTTGCGTCTACCTTGCTACACTGCAGCAATGGCATGACTCCGCGAATAGGTCGC